GCCATTGACTATACTATCCTGCCAGCAGGCGTCCTGCAGTGACACAGCTTCTGCCACCCCTCACTACGTCTCGCCCTTCTGCCTTCTGTTTTGAATCCACACCCACATGTGTTGAAGGCCATAGTGGACTATTCGCGAGTCATTGACCTGGACCCCTCCGATGCCGAAGCAGTCAGGTGGCGAGGTGAGCATATGTGGTGGGTGGGAGAGAAAGCATGGCTGGCATATTCACGCTCACGGTCTTCCACTCAGCTGCTCGTGCTTCCATCTGCAACCATCTCCCCCGGCTTTCAGCACACCTGCTCTTCTTTCCCATCTCCATATTCAGTCCCTCTTCCCTTGCCTCCTGTCTCCTCTCTATCCCCCTCCCGTTCATCCTGTCCTTCAACCTCAACTATTATTATTGAGACGTCTCAAAAGTCATCTCCATGTTCATCCCTCCTGTCTCCTCTTTATCCCCCTGCTAGGCATCCTGTCCTTCAACCTAAAATACTACTATGCAGCTGAGAAGGACTTTCAGCAAGCCATTCAGCTCGACCCCTCTCTACCCTTCGTCTTCAAAGGTCTTGTAAGTTATCTCTCACTCATGATGCTTCTTCATTCTCCTGAGGCTTTAAGTCCTCATTCCTTCGCTCGTGGGCAATCCCGATTGCTTTTTCCCGACCGTATGCCCAGCATGCAGCTGCAGCGAGCACTATTCATTACCTATTTATTAGCTAGCTATTCCTCCCAGCACCCATCCCTCTGATTTCCGCTCCTTTTCCTCTTTCTTTCGCCCCTCCTCCCACTTCCATTTCCTCTAGGCCCTCGCCATAGGGGGCAGTGGGAGGTGGCGGGAGTCGTTGCCAGTGTTTGCAGAGGGAGTGAGGCGCCACCCCCAGGATGCGGACCTGTGGCATTCCAAGGGGCGCGCGCACAAGGAGGTGGGCGAGGTGGAGCACGCCATAGCGGCACTTGAGCGGGCACTGCAGATCAGAAAGTGAGTGGGCTTTTGAACATTCTTGGGTACCCTGCTTCAAGGTCGTTTGAGAGGTCTCAAAAAGGGCGCGCGCACAAGGAGGTGGGCGAGGTGGCGCATGCTATAGCGGCACTTGAGAGGGCGCTGCAGATCAGAAAGTGAGAGCCGTGGGTGTGATTGCAGCTGTGGCGAGTTCCTATAGGACCCCTTCATCCTCACTGGCATCTATGCATTTTTTCCTAAGTCCCTGCATCCGTCCATACAGTCCCTGCATCCGTCCATACAGTCCCTGCATCCGTCCATACAGTCCCTGCATCCGTCCATACAGTCCCTGCATCCGTCCATACAGTCCCTGCATCCGTCCATACAGTCCCTGCATCCGTCCATACAGTCCCTGCATCCGTCCATACAGTCCCTGCATCCGTCCATACAGTCCCTGCATCCGTCCATACAGTCCCTGCATCCGTCCATACAGTCCCTGCATCCGTCCATACAGTCCCTGCATCCGTCCATACAGTCCCTGCATCCGTCCATACAGTCCCTGCATCCGTCCATACAGTCCCTGCATCCGTCCATACAGTCCCTGCATCCGTCCATACAGTCCCTGCATCCGTCCATACAGTCCCTGCATCCGTCCATACAGTCCCTGCATCCGTCCATACAGTCCCTGCATCCGTCCATACAGTCCCTGCATCCGTCCCTACAGTCCCCGTATCCTTACTTCACCCTTGTCAGCACCTACTCATCTCAAAGCATGCGTGCATGTACGAAGGGGTCAAGGCTCACCACGCCCGCTCTCTGTTCACATCTGTGCTTGTCTGTATGTACGGCACAGGGCAGTGGCGACCTATCAGGAGCTTGTGGCTGTCAGCCGATTTGTGGGCGACTACAGGTGAGCTTCTCCTGCTGGTGACTTTTGAGTCGGCTCAAAAGTCCTTTGTGGGTGAGTACAGGTAAGCTTCTCCTCCTGCGCAGTCAGGGTGTTTTGTTCTGATTTGGGATAGGTTTTTGTTCTCTTGTTGTCTGGGTGCATATGACTTATGGAGCACCGTCCTGGTGTTTGACTGTGTGCCTTGTGTTAAACTCTTATAGAAGACCAGATTTCTTCTTTGCCATGTTCTCCCTTGCATCTTTTCCTCATTCTACTTCCCCTCACTTCTTCACCCCTCGCTCCCACCCCACAGGGCCGCCATACGCTATGCAAGAGAGGGGTTGCAGCTGGACAGGGGAGACATGGAGCTCGTGCTTGCCAGCCTGCATGCTCTGGGGGACCTGTATCTACTCTTCCTTCCCTCGCTTCTTCACCCCTCTCTCCATCTCCCCAACAGGGCCGCCATACGCTATGCAAGGGAGGGGTTGCAGCTGGACAGTGGAGACATGGAGCTCGTGCATGCCCTCGCCAGCAGCCTGCATGCTCTGGGGGACTTCGCTGAAGCTGTGAGTATCATCTCACACCCACACCTTTCCAACTCCAACCTGTGTGCTGTCCAATTATAATCTGCCACACACTGTGCCGTTCCCGTTAATGCGACCTCTACAGTTTCCTTTCCAGTCACAATCTCAGAGCACACAACCCGTCGTCAAGATTCAAGGCCTGCTTGCACCCTCGTCTGCGCATCCTTGTGTTGCCTGCAGATGCGCAAGTACCAGGCAGCGATGGCACTGCAGCCCAGGGATCAGGACGGGCAGGCTCTGCAACACTCCATGTTCTACCAGGCATGTTCCAAAACTTCTGCAGTTTTGCTGTGCTGTCTGTCTTACGGCTTGCCTCTGTCACTATCTCTCATTCCCTTTCCTCATGTTTCCCCTATTGCAACTCCCCTCCCCCTCTCAGAGGGAGGTACTGGCGTACACCATTGCTCGCTTGCAGCAGCCGCTCTCCTCCATCCGATTCGACTGGGACTTCACTGCTGAGTTCAGAGTATGGCCACCCCTTACCATACCACCCCCACCCAGCCATCCTTTTAAGTCGACTCAAATGTCACCTCACTCTCCTCCATCCGGTTCAACTGAAACTTTACTGCTGAGTTCAGATTATGGCCACCCCTTACCATACCACCCCCACCCAGCCATCCTTTTAAGTCGACTCAAATGTCACCTCACTCTCCTCCATCCAGTTCAACTGAAACTTTACTGCTGAGTTCAGAGTATGGCCGCCCCTTACCACCCCCAACCCAGCCATCCTCATCACCCCTTGCATCTATTTCCATCAGTGCAACCATATTCAGCAGCCTTTCTTTGTTCGCATGCTATTGCGATGTTTTTCAGCACATCCGCCCGTGTTTCTCCCCTTCACCTCCACTCCCCTTTAGATGATCTTTTCCCCTCTACAAATATAACTCCTCACATATCTCCCCCCCACCCCCCCCCCCCCCACCCCACACTGCAACAGGAGGCATGGACCAAGAAGGACCCCATAGCAACGCTGCCAGGCTACCAGCCCCTCTCGGTCACTTGTGAGAATTCTCAAAAACCGGCACATATCCCTTCCCACCGCAACAGGAGGCATGGACTAAAAAGAACCCTGTAGCAACGCTGCCAGGCTACCAGCCCCTCTCGGTCACTTGTGAGAATTCTCAAAAACCGGCACATATCCCTTCCCACCGCAACAGGAGGCATGGACTAAAAAGGACCCTGTAGCAACGCTGCCAGGCTACCAGCCCCTCTCGGTCACTGCCCGCCAATCACAGCGCGCCACGTTGCAGTCCCTGCCCAAGCTGTCACGTGAAGCGTTGGATTTGATCGAAGCAGCGGACAGGATCGGCCAGCGGGCTCACTACCACTGCGATGCCTTCATGGCAAACAGGCAGCAGGTAGCAATACGCTTTCATCTCTTGCTTCCTGTCTCTCCCTCTCATTTCCTCCCTTCCCCTTATTGCCCTCAGTAACTCGCTTCCTGTTCTCACTCCACCCCACTCCTCGCCCCCTCCCTGCACCCCTCAGCTGCGCATGGCAGGGCTGGCAGCACTGGACGTGATGCAGCAGGTCAGTCAATTCTACCCTTTCCCCATGCTTGTCACTCGGGGTGTTCTAGGTGTGAAGTCTTTTATGTGAGGCACGGTAGTCACTGGCTAGTAGTGCTGTGTGATTGAAGGGGTTGTGGTCAATATGTACGCTTACACTTGTCAATATGTATGTGTGCTGTGTGTTTCATTTGTCGCTCCATCTGTGCACGCGCTGTGGCGCAGGCAAGGGCAACATGGGATGCTATGGAACAAGAGCAGCAAGAGGGGGAGGAGGCAGCAGGTGGTGACAGAGTGACAGACTCCAAAGCAACCAAGGAAGAAGATACGCCAGGAGGAGGGGGAGGCAGCGGAGGGGTACAAAGCAGGGAGAAGCAGAGGCAAAGGGGAAGTGACAGATCGGGCAAGGGCAGTCGGAAAAGCAGCAGCAGCAGCAGCAGCAGCAGAGGACAGGCGGTGGGGTGCTGAAGGGGTGGAGGGATGTGTACGAGATGATCACGAGATGGCGACAGATCTCCGATCCAACGGATGCTGTGCTCTGGAAGGACCAACTGAAGTACGTGCCACTGTGGTTGCCTCTTATGCTTGCCTATCACAATGAAAGGTTCTCTGATGTCTCATGGGGGAAGGTGCTCCATCTGCTTTCCCCTGCAGGAATCGCTTTGCGCAGGGATTTCGGTCGTCCACACCCATCAAGGTGTGGGATCTGCAGACCGTCAAGTATTACCCCGTCTACAACAAGTGGGTACTACCTCCTAACCGCACCACACCTCTCTTGCACTGCTCTCTTGCACGGTCTTGCACCTCTCTCTTCCGCTTCTCTCCGCAAACCGTCAAGTATTACCCCGTCTACAACAAGTGAGTACTACCCCGTATTCAACAAGTTAGTCTATCAATACCCACACACTTTCTCACCCTTTCAGCCTATCAAACCCACACACTTCCGCACCACTCATACACCTCCTAGCGCACATCCCTTGCACTGCTCCCGGTTCTCTGCTGTCACTTCCGCTGGAGCTCCATCTCCTGGAGCTCCGTCTTCTGATTCCTGAAGCCGGCTCCTGTTCATTGCTCGGCAGGTCATTTGAGGCCATGCGTGAGGCTCTGCTGGAGTCGGAGCAGGCCTTCACAAACAACCAGCCCTTCGCTGTGCCGCGCAACACACGTGGCGACATGGTGAGTGGGGTGCGCATGTCTCTTGAAGCACGCATGGCGAGTGGGGTGCAGCATATGAGCGGGCGGTGCAGCGAAAGGACTTTCTGGTTTTGAGGCGCCTCATCACTAGATCCCCTCCCCCCCTATTCCCCATCCCCAATCAGATAGCCAGGGCATCTGACCTGCAGGCGCTTCATCAGGCTGTGGGAAAGGACTTTCTGGTCCAAGCACCCTGCTACAGCCATGCCGTTCCAGGGTACGCCTTCCCTGCTACTCTCAGTATACGCCTTCCCCGCTACTCTCAGTATACGCCGTCCCTGCTACTCTCAGGGTATGCCTTCCCTGCTACAGCTGAGCATCTGAGCAATACTGTATGTCCTGATCCATGCCCCAGCCATGAGGTCTCAACGTGCATGCCACGCCACATCGTCTCATCTGTATTCTCATCTCCTCGTCTCTGTAATGTAACCTCCTCACCTCCTCCCATCCCATCATGCCCATGCAGGAAGGACCTGACCGGGTCGATGTTTGAAATCCTTAAGACGTAAGCCATTGCCTCATGCTTTTTCAACTCTGCCACTTTCCCACGCATCAGCCAGAGCAAACTTTCCACCACCAAGTTCCAGCACCTTACTTCGCCTACACGTTCTCGTAATTAGCCGCTCATTGAATTCATGACAGGTAAGGCCAGCTAACCCGCATTCTCCTCTCGCTTAGGGTCTCTCATCCCTCCACTCCATCTTTCCCATGTCCGCCTCTATCATCCCAGCACCCACGCTTTCAGCTTCTACACACACACACCAATCAGCCCCCGGCGGTGGCACGACTTTGACCAGGAGCTCACTGCTGCATGGCAGGTCAGCCGTGCATGACTCATGAGGTCAGCCGTGCATGACGCATACCCATCTGCGTTTCCTCATATGCATCTACCTCATGCATGATTCATACGCATCAGCCCCCAGCGGTGGCACAACTTCGACCAGGAGCTCGCTGCTGCATGGCAGGTCAGGCGTGCGGTTTCCTCCTGCCCATTCGTGCAATGAATACATTTACAGATGCCTCTGAAATGATATTTCATTTGTTCCTGGTTTGACATCCTCCCTCTGACCAGGCCCTGTGTGTGGCAGTGCCGTACGCACAGATGCCTCTGAAATGATAGTCCATCCATTCCTACTTTCCCGTCCTCCCTCCCACCAGGCGCTGTGTGCGGCAGTGCTGGACGCACACACAGAGGCAGCTGATCCCTATCGCTACCGCCAGAGGATTCAAGACGCCATCCTCCGCCTGGGATACTTCTGGTCAGTACGCATTGGGTGCTCTACATGCTCGGGGCTTGGGCTCCTTCTGGTATGCATGGGGTGCTCTACCCCTTAACATACGTGTGGGAGAGGTCACGTCTTTAGCTCCCCTTGCACAGTGATACACGTCATAAGCTCACAACGATCCTGGACTCTATCTTGGACCTGATTGTCACCCGTCATGCTCACATCACCCTCACGCATCTGTGCATTTGCACTGTACTCCTCTCCCACACGCCCCACCCTCCACTCCACCAGGTTCCAGCTGATGCCGTTGACTCGCGGGTCCGCCATGGTGGGGCTGGTCTCCATCCTCGGCCTCTCCATGGCTGCTCACATGCAGACCACTGCGCTCATTCCCCATGGGGTGCAGGTAGGCTGAAGTGTGCCAGGTAGTTGCACTTGGGGCTGTGTTGCACTTTTCTTTTTTTGCAACCTATGCAGTAAGGAGTGGCTTATATTCAACCAGCAAATACGCACCAGATAGCCCCCCAGTGGTTCAATAGAATCAGGGTGAGAGGAAGAACACACACTGGAGCTCTGACTCTAGTCCGGAGTCTGGAGCAGTTCATTATAGTGGGTCTTTTGCCCTGGTACGATCAGTCACCACACAAATAATTGTATGAGTTTTTTTTATACACCACCTTCATGACGTCGCTTCCATCCAGGTGGACTGGGAGGCTTTACTCGTGTCTCGCTTTGAAGACTTCAATGCCTCAATTGCCCCATGGCTCTTCGCCTCTACTCAAAGCTCGCCCTGGGATCTTGCCCCTATTGAGGGCGTCTTATCCACAACGCACCATGTGATTGCAGCGTTGAGCTACGATATATAAAGCATAAAAGGTGACCATATGCTGGTTGCCTTATTTAGCAAAATTTTGTATAATGGATGCTGCGACATTAGGGAAGTGCAATAATGAGAAGCAGAAAAACTAATATATAGCCACCCTTGACCATAACATTTTTTGTTAAAGGTTTAATCCCTAATTTAGCCGTATGCTTGCTTTGAATCAACATGTGAAACATTTGTATATCGAATCACGTAATATGTCGATGTGCGCTCGAGGGGCCATGGTGCCGGAAAGCGGCCAACTCAAATTCGAAACTGTGGTCTGACACTTGCACAAGATCCGAGCCAATAGTGTTGCTGCCTGTCAGCAAACCTCACCTCACCATCACCATCCCATCCAACGCCGTGGATGTCAGGAGCACCTCCCCGCAAAAACACGGTAACAAGATTTGCAAAGCGAGGTAAGGTAAAGTTCGATTTTAGCGAAAGCTTAATCCTCTCGCCAGCCTTCGCGGCTCCCCGCCGTTCACCACAACCCCTCCGCCTACTTCCCAAAGCTTCCCGCCTTGTCAGCGCAAATCTCCCGCAACCCGACTCTGCAGCGGCGTCACCCGCCTTGGGATTCCCTCGGCTTGCATGGCGACTCGACTCTTCGTTTCCCTCCCCTCACATCCGTCTCTTCAGCTCTCCTCTCCCTCTCCCTCTCCCCTCTCCCCTCTCCTCTCTCCCCTCCACCTCAACTTTCCTTCCGCCTTGTGGCTTGGTTGCATCGCGGATGCCGTGGCTTCTCACCGTCTCCACTCCATTCCCTTTCCTTCCCACGATCCTGTAGCTTAGTCCTGCTCGCGAGTTCTCTCAGGCGCGCTTGCTAACTCGGTCCGTCAGTCCATGGCCGCTTCCATAGTATTGACTCGTGCGTCAAAACTAGCAAACGCTTGAGCTAAGCTGAGGTTTTAGGTCAAAGCGCTCTGCTCTGGACGACCGTCATATCGTTTTCTGGACGACCATTTGCTAGAATGCGGATCATCGTGTGGATATTTTTTAACGACGATCAGTTCGTTACTTTCATCAACACTAGAACCTAGGACTCATCGAACGAGATCCCATCAATCAATCCTACGATCCGCTCTTATTGTTATTCCTAGTCCGAATCTAGAAGCTAGAAGTCATTGACTGATATCCCATCACTTCCGTTTTTTATCAGCTCTTCTTGATAGACGTCAGGTCCTCGATGCGCATCAGCACTTTCGTACTAAGACATTATCTCGTGTCCCGCTCGCAACCTGAACATTCCTTCCGCAATGACGTTTCCCGTCGGTCATGCTTCGTCCTACGACGCCGTTCACGTGGTTAGGGTTCTTCGTTGGACGATGCGCTTCAGCATTTCTCGCTCGCGATGTTGCGACGGAAGAGGAGGAGTTTGATTCGTTTGGACTGAATCATATAGCATCTTCAACAATGCGAATCTCGCAGCATCTTCAAGACATCTGACGTCTGAACACCGCTTTCAACCGACGCTACTACTACTTCGCTAACGTCCGACGTAAACACTTGCGACGTGAACGAAGATGATCACGTGACGAATAAGGTTCCTGCGGAGGAGCAGCTTCGTGAAGAGGCGACGGTAGAGCTCGTGAATGCGTCGACGCTCGCGAAGGCTCGCAAATGCATGGACGCTCTTCGTCGACGCCAAGCTCGCGAAATGCTGACGGAGTAGCATTTTTCGTCGCCTCCGCTACTCTTGGTCGAACCGGAAGAGCTCGCGAGGCCGTCGACGCTCGCGATGGTGGGACGACGGAGGCGGGGGGGCTTCGGGAGATGCTCTCACTACGGTGGAAAGGAGATTCGTCGTGATGCGACGGCGGAGGAGCCCGCGACGACCGTGCGACGCTCGCCACGTCCCTGCGAAAATGTGCGACCTTGTGAATTCGCCGATGCGAGAGCTAACGAAGGCGCCGTTTTCGTGGCCGCGAATGCGTCGACGTTCGCGCCGCTACCTGGTTGTGGTAACATTTCGTCCATCCAAACCCCGAACTCGTGTTTCTAGGCAACGTGTTCTTAGGGTTAATCGCTATTTTCTGGTCCAAATCTCTTCTGTCGCTATTTTCTGATCTTTTGGCAATCGCGTTTCGCTTCTTTCAGTCTGGCGTATTTTCCGTTTCCGTTCCATTCCAATTATGGGGTATCTCACTGGCTGCGACTTCTGCTGTCTCCATCCGTCCGTGCAGAAGCGGGAGCTGGTTTCCTGGTGCGCTGCTCCTGCTCCTGGAATGGAGAAGACGAGCGTTGGAGAGGACGAGCGTTGGAGAGGACGAGCGTTGGAGAGGACGAGCGTTGGAGAGGACGAGCGTTGGAGAGGACGAGCGTTGGAGAGGACGAGCGTTGGAGAGGACGAGCGTTGGAGAGGACGAGCGTTGGAGAGGACGAGCGTTGGAGAGGACGAGCGTTGGAGAGGACGAGCGTTGGAGAGGACGAGCGTTGGAGAGGACGAGCGTTGGAGAGGACGAGCGTTGGAGAGGACGAGCGTTGGAGAGGACGAGCGTTGGAGAGGACGAGCGTTGGAGAGGACGAGCGTTGGAGAGGAGAGGAGCGCTGGCGAGGAGGAGCGTTGAAGTGGTGGAGCTGCAGCGACTGGAGCTTCAGCAGCGACAGGAGCGGAAGCGACTGGAGCAGCAAGTAAGTAACTGGAGCCGTGACTGAACACCCCCGTTCCTTTCTTCTCTCCCCCCTCCCTTCTCCCTCCTCCTTCGCGTTCCTCTGCCTTCATTGTTTTTATGGCTTTCGTGTTCTCAACCGTTTTCTCCGTTGACTCTCTGGTCGCTGTGCAGGCAACATTAAGGTGTGGTGGAAAAGACGGAGCAGCAGAGACAGAAGCAGCATCATCTGCAGGAGTAGAGTGGCAGTGGCAGCAGCGACGGGAGAAGCATGGGCAGAGGTCGCAGTGTCAGCAGGAGGAAAGCGGCAGCAGCTGCAGTGGCTGGCGAGGCAACTGGAGCAGCAACGACTGGAGCATCATTGACTGGAGAAACAAGTGAGAAATTGGAGTAATGACAGAATACCTCTGTTCCTTTCTTCTCTCCCCCATCCCCTCTCCTACGGCTTTTGTTTTGTGTTCTTTCTTGTTCTTTTGCTGCCTCCTTTCCTCCTTGCATCCGTTCCTCTTCACTCTGCCAATTCTCTGTCAAATCGTAAACTCTACTCTAATTAACCTCCCATGTGGCATTTCGCAACTCTCTGGTCGCAGTGCAGGGAAAGTTGAGTGGGTGGAAAGACGGAGCAGCAGCGTTGGAGGTGGAGAGGTGCTGCTGCGTTGGAGGCAACTGGAGCAGGAGCAACTGGAGCAGGAGCAACTGGAGCAGGAGCAACTGGAGCAGCAAGTGAGTAAGCGGAGCACTCTCCTCCCCCACCCTAGTCTCTCCTCATTCGCATTTGCTCTGCCTTCGTTTTATGGCTTCCGTGTTCTTCGCCGTTTTTCTGCTGTCGTTTTTCCTCCTTGCAGTCCTCTCCTGTCGACTCGTATCCTCCTCTCTGATTGACCTTCCTTGTGGGATTGCAACTCTCTCGTCGATGTGCAGGAACATGGAACGTCTAGGCATGGATGGGAAGACGGGCAGCGGTGGCAGTGGCAGCAGGAGAAGAGCAAAGCAGTGGCAGCGGCAGCAGAAATGGCAGCAGGAGGAGAGCGGCAGCGGCAGCAAAGCAGTGGCAGCTGCAGCGGCAGCAAAGCAATGGCAGCAGAGGAGTTGGAGGAGGGGAGGAGAGCAGCGGAGTGGAACAGCGGAGAAGAGGAGCAGAGGAGCAGAGGGGCAGAGAACAGCACAGTTGCGCTTCCCCTCAACGCTGCTGGCCGCATGGAGGAGAGAAGGCACGGAGGGGAGAAGTGAGCAGGAGCAAGCTGCGAGCTTCTACCTCCCGCGTGCTTCTGCTGGTGCTGTGAAGCGACACCAGCGGTGGCAGCAGCGGTGGGAGAAGGAGAGAGGTCCGCAATGACACTACAGCTGACAGCAGCAGAGGCTAACAGGAAGACCAGCAGTGACACCAGCGGTGGCAGCAGCGGTGGGAGAAGGAGAGAGGTCCGCAATGACACTACAGGATGACATCAGCAGTGGCTGGCAGTAGAAAAGAAGACCAGCAGTGACACCAGCGGTGGCAGCAACGGTAGGAGGAGGAGAGAGGCCTGCAATGACACTACAGCTTGCAGCAGCAGTGGCTGGCAGCAGAAGAGAAGACCAGCAGTGACACCAGCGGTGGCAGCAGCGGTGGGAGAAGGAGAGAGGTCCGCAATGACACTACAGCTGACAGCAGCAGTGGCTGGCAGCAGAAGAGAAGACCAGCAGTGACACCTGCGGTAGCGGTAGGAGAAGGAGAGAGGTCCGCAATGACACTACAGCTGACAGCAGCAGTGGCTGGCAGCAGAAGAGAAGACCAGCAGTGACACCAGCGGTGGCAGCAGCGGTGGGAGAAGGAGAGAGGTCCGCAATGACACTACAGCTGACAGCAGCAGTGGCTGGCAGCAGAAGAGAATACAAGCAGTGACACCTGCGGTGGCAGCAGCGGTGGGAGGAGGAGAGAGGCCCGCAATGACACTACAG